AACTTGTTTTATGTAAAAATTAAAAGAAATGACACCTATGAAAAAAATGAATGCTAAGTTTTAAAAAGTTTTAAAAACTTTTTAACATGTTTCAAACTTTTCAGAAATTATCTACATGTTACAAATTGTAAAACTGTTAAATCTCTTTCTCAAAAAAACGTTACTTTAACTATTTTTAAAACTATTCTAAAAAATCAATTGCAAACAAAATTTTCTAACGAGGCCACTTTATTGTGAATCTGTACCAAATTTTAAATAAATAATATTGAATGAAATATGAAGTAATATTTCGTAATTTGATAATTAATTAAATTATTATAATTATTTATTTAAATTGTTTCATCTGTATTATTTATTGGCACTAGATGAAATAGTTTTTTTACAAAGCAAATTCAAGGTATTTTTACAACTAAGATCATTTAATTTGTGAACTGTATGAGTTAGAGATGGGCTTATCATATCCGAAGCCGGATCGGTTAGGATTTGACTCCGCTTCAGAGAGGAGTTATATCCACTTAACAATTAATTATTTAAGTTGCTTCATCTGTATTATTTATTGGCACTAGATGAAATAGTTTTTTACAAAGCAAATTCAAGGTATTTTTACAACTAATATCATTTAATGTGTGAACTGTATAAATTAGAGATGTGCTTATCATATCCGAAGCCGGATCAGTTAGGATTTGACTCCGCTTCACAGAGGAGTTATATCTACTTAACAATTAATTATTTAAATTGTTTCATCTGTATTATTTATTGGCATTAGATGAATTTTTTTTTTTTTACAAAGCAAATTCAATGCATTTTTACAACTAAGATCATTTAATGTGTGAACTGTATAAATTAGAGATGGCTTATCATATCCGAAGCCGGACAATTAATTATTTAAAAGATGTAGAAAAGATATCACTTATAAAATGTAATTGAGGCATATTTTATTCACAATATTAACAAAAATATGTATTTTAATTAAAAAATTATTATTCAATTATAGGATCAGCTACAGTTCAAGGTATTTTTCCACTTCAGAGAGGAGTTATATCCACTTAATAATTAATTATTTAAATTGCTTCATCTGTATTATTTATTGGCACTAGATGAAATAGTTTTTTTTTACAAAGCAAATTCAAGGCATTTTTACAACTAAGATCATTTAATGTGTGAACTATATGAATTAGAGATGGCTTATCATATCCGAAGCCGGATCGGTTAGGATTTGACTCCGCTTCAGAGAGAAGTATTTCCACTTAACAACTCCGATAACTTTGAAACATAATGCTTGACACAAATGTGTTCTCTAGTGTGTTGTAACATATCTAAGGATATTTATTAGAACTTTGGAAGTCTAATGGAATAGTTTACAGATAGTTCAAACATTTTTGTTCATTTTATTATAAGGATTTGACTCCGCTTCAGAGAGAAGTATTTCCACTTAACAACTCCGATAACTTTGAAACATAATGCTTGACACAAATGTGTGTTTAACATATCTAAGGATATTATTAGAACTTTGGAAGTCTAATGGAATAGTTTACAGATAGTTCATCTTTGCGTATATATTTTTCACAAAATAATCATACCTCACGTTCTTTTATTATTTCCTTTTTGAGAATTAATTATACATCAGGTAGTTTGATTAGCATACTATTATTTTTACACAATTATAAAATCATAATTGTGGTAAAAGTTATAATATAATACTAAATATTTATTGGCACTAGATGAAATAGTTTTTTTTTACAAAGCAAATTCAAGGCATTTTTACAACTAAGATCATTTAATGTGTGAACTATATGAATTAGAGATGGCTTATCATATCCGAAGCCGGATCGGTTAGGATTTGACTCCGCTTCAGAGAGAAGTATTTCCACTTAACAACTCCGATAACTTTGAAACATAATGCTTGACACAAATGTGTTCTCTAGTGTGTTGTAACATATCTAAGGATATTTATTAGAACTTTGGAAGTCTAATGGAATAGTTTACAGATAGTTCAAACATTTTTGTTCATTTTATTATAATAATTACTCTTTTATGCATTTCAATATGCATACAAATATCAAATTGACAAAAAACTTGTGAATCAAAATCAATTTTGTAATTATTTTTGAAGAGAGTTCTTAAGAGAGAAAATAAAGCAGTGAATCTTATATATGAAATAAGATCAAATCTTTGCGTATAATATTTTTCACAAAATAATCATACCTCACGTTCTTTTATTATTTCCTTTTTGAGAATTAATTATACATCAGGTAGTTTGATTAGCATACTATTATTTTTACACAATTATAAAATCATAATTGTGTAAAAGTTATAATATAATACTAAATATTTTTTAGCTGGCTGTATACCATTGAGACAAGGATTATCGTATACAGAATATAGATTATTATTTTGAGACATTATATACCTGAAAAGTCCTAAAACTGGGTGTGAGACGAAAAAAGAATACTTATTTCGACCCAAATCTTTGTATTAGTAAAAAATCTCAAGCAAATATCTGCACATGTTAACAGATTTAGTATCAGTTTGGGGAAGTCGAATATGACAAATTCTGTGAGACAACTCCACTGGGATTCACTCTGAGGGAGGAGTTGTATCGGAGTGATAACTTCGGGTGAGTTGCCAATCTCTAGTATGAATAGTGTTATTGTTAGAAAGTTTGGTAGAATGGCATTATTATATAAATATATATATATATATATATATATATATATAAATATATATATATATATATATATATATATATATATGTATTATATCTAATTTAATTTTTGATTTATTACATTTCGTGTATTTGCTTTCAGCAGAGATGTTTCTAAAGAGCATTATACTGTAATATTTTTGTACTTATCAATTTGTTCAAATAATAGAAAAAAGAAGGTTATTGAATAATTGATATAATTAATATTCTTGTATCGAAGCTTCAGATGGAGGAAAACATGTCTACCCATGTAAGTGTCATTACAATAGATTATACATATATATATATATAATATATATATATATATATATATATTTATGATTTGTCAATTTTTGAACGAAAAGCATCATTTGCTTTAAAAAATTATTAACTTTGAAGGGGATGTTTTTTTTTACCCGAAAATCCGATTTGCTAAGTTTGTTTTCTTGATGTTTCAAGTCATTCTGAATAGTGTGAAAATAATTTAATAAACAATTTAATTAATTTAACTAATTTTCAACAAAGTATGGTTGTGTATGTGTGTCGATTTTTCGATCTTTTTTTTGACGTTACCTAAAACAGAACTGGACCTATTTCAAAAAATTAAAAGCTAAGCTATTTCTTTATATTTAGCGAAAAAGTAAAATAGAAGATTTTTAGTTGACAATTCTTAATCGTTTTTGATAATTAAAAAATTGCTCTGATTAGTTTCTGGTAACGATCGGCCAGGTCGTTTCTTCAGAAAAAAATATCGACTATTTTTATGAAACTTTTTATTTATGATAGAAATCGTGGTCTTAAAGAGCACACGAAAATATTAGGGCTTTCGACTGGTGGGTTAATTTTGAAGTTCATTTCAAAATTTCAATTGTGCCTAGTTTATGATTCACAGTAATGTTGTGCAAGGCTATTTTCTTTTGAAAGTGTATTGCTAACTATATTTGGAAGAGAAGACCTCTGTCACTGCTATCGAACTTATGACTCGAAGTACATAGCCCTAACCACTAGGTCACCAACAACTGCTAAAAGCACTTGTAGCTGCAAAGCATTAACAGCAAAAATATGAAATAAAAAACTTATTGTCACTAAATATGGTCGTTCACAAGAACATTTTATTTAGCAAATATACAGTATATATTACATATATCTCCTTTAAAATTTCAACAGATATGTTCTAATTGATATTTTCGGTTGTATATTATTTTAGTGTCCCCATTGTATCTGGTTACTATTTGTCAATATAACAACACATCTTCAAGACGTAGTGATATAATGTAATTTTTACAATAAATATTTATGTATTGACAACATAGTAAATCCTGAGAGGACAGACATCGTATAATCAATTCTAGAATTTTTAATATATGATCTAACGCTTAAAGACAACAATGATATTTCTTAGTTACTATATATTTTAATTTTTTTTAAGGCAACAAAAGATAACGAAAAGGTACATATAATATAGTGATGATTTATTAAATTAAATTATTTGTGACTTCTACATTGATATTAAATACATTTATGTTTATTGACTTGTTGATAATTTACACTTCACAGAATTTCTGTTAAGGAAATTAATATATCTATAATGGACTAATTTTTTTACTTCTAATTTTCTTTTATTGTCCGCGACCACAGCATTGCAATCTCATACGGCATCGGCTTCTATTAATTTATTTTAATATACAAGCAGGACTAGTTCATTCTAATATGCAGTCTTATAACCGAATAACCTCATTTTGTCTATGATATTGATATTGCCGTAAACAATAAAAAATATGTTACATTTAACTATTTATTTCAAAATATTTTTATTAAAATAATATGCAGGTAGAATTTGTTATCGTGTTTCACCTTTTTCTGTGACTGATATGCTATCGTAATCTTTGTTTTGATAATTTATAATAACGTATCATAAAAATTTGTAGCAAGCTCAAAGCTTGATCTTTGATATAAAATTAATACAATATTGAAACCTCGCTTAGAGCAAAAATTGATTCCATTTTAAAATAATTAAAACATATATTTGCGAGCAATAATTTATCAATACACGTAACACCAACATTTATTATAACATGTGCGCCGTTTCTTCGCACATATTATAATTCATTGCACAGCACATTCCTTACAATGTCTCTGGGTCATTATTGCTTCCTAAAATATGTATTACATAAACTACATGATTAATTGACAATAATATACATTTATAATAGAAGTTTCTATAACAAAACAATATAATTCAACAATTTCAAATAAAACAACTATTGCTTATAACAAAAACACAATTATAGCAATTGTTCACAGTCGCTCGTGTGCTTTATAGACAAGTCGCAAGTATTTACATTGAGATTAAGTATTATGTAATTGGATACATTTAACAATTTGGCTTTATAATTAGCGCTTGGCTTATGTTGAATCAAATTACAAATCTTGGCCAAGACGGTCGAACTCGGCCAGCATAAAATCTACGTCACCTTCAGTGACGGCCGCTGAAGAAATGATGCTTCTGAAGAAGTTAGGGCGGCGGTCGTCTGGCTGGTAACCTACCATAAGCGTGCCGGACTGCATCATCCGGGCTTTAAGAATTGGGCAAATCTAGAAGGAGAATTACTGGTTTATTGATTTATTTAATCATTCATTTTTATTATTATCTGTCTTTGCAAACACTAAAAAGATTTGATATATGTTATTTATTTTCATGGTTCAGAATTAAGTTAGGTTCGATCTTCAGGCTTTCTGGATGTTTTCCAATATTTGCGTAGTGTTAATAATATTAGTCAATTATTTACATATCAGAGGTACACTGAGCCTTTTTTGGTTTGAGCTAAAAACGTGCCTTTTGCTACGCTAGTATTTTCCGCAGGAGAGACACTGTTGTTTTAAACCAGCAAGGCGGTCAGTAGCTTTAATGAATGGATTAGGCGCAACGACAATTTTCAGATTTTTCAATCATTATATAAAATTGTTTTCAAATAAAATTGTATTAGAAAATTAAAAAAAAAAACACATCTAAAGACTCCATTTTTGCAGTAACAAATTGGAATTCTTAATTATTTAGCTCATTGTCAGAGTGATAATTCTTGAAGGATAGGTCAACATACTTCAGTCAGACATTGAACTGACATCCGTACACAGGTCGTCATGCGGATGTCGTCTATAAGCGACATTCCTGCACACAGGCAGTCATATAGATGTCGCCTGTAGGTGTCGCTCGTAATGAAATGGTCATTTAAATACTGTTATATACTGTTTGCGAGTGTTTTCATTAAACTTGCAAGTGATTGATTTTGTGTGTCATCTCTATGGTTTCAAATTTTCTACCGTTTTTATTTTATATAATTCATTCATTATAAAAATATATATCATGCATTTTTTGTTTCCTATTCAGTTTTTTTGTGTATTAGCTATTATATATCGTGTTCTTGGCAGATGACCCGAGGATGGAACATAACTAATTCCGAAACGCAAAATGAATTATATATCATCAAATTACATTCTGTTTTTTTTATTATTGTATACTGCACATATACATTATGTTATGTCATTATGTCGATATTTGAAAAACAAATTTGGATTAGTAGTGCTTAGTTCTTATTAAATTACATTAAAGAAAACTACATTTGTGCTATTGCCGAGACCAGACAAATTAAACTTTTACTCGAATAGAAAAAGAGAGGGCCATTATCTACTAAAAGTCTATTTTTTAACTATATTTTCAAGTAAATATAAATAAATGTGACGAAATATGAGTGCATTATATCAAGCATATGGACACATATCTGCAGCATCTGACGAATAACTTTTTCATAGATATCAAAATAAAATTTTACTATAATTTAGCTGCACTAAAGTAGTTTCTGTATGAAAATTTCGAAGATTATTTACCTTTCCTAATTCAGCTTCACGTTTTGCATCATGTATGATTCCTCTCAAACGACGAGGAATATACCAGAAGCTCACGTTGACGCATTCTGGTTCCATTATCAAATAATATTTATCGGGCATCGTACGCAAGCGTTTTACCATGTATTCAGTCAATTCCATTAAACGATCCATGTGCTTTTCGAAACCTTCGGAACCCTAAAGGAAAAATATTTTGAATAATATAATATAATGATAATCAACAACTTTATGGTATTTTATCCACCAACCTTGGCACGCCATTGCAGCCACAATTTGAAGACGTCATTATGTCGTCCACATTGGATTACTTTGTCACCGGTATCGTACTGGACGTCGTACAATTTATCTGTCATGAAAAGGTATTCGGCGCTCATCTGATTACAGCTAATCAGCAATCCCTAACAGAAACATATAAAATAAACTTCTGCCAAAAAATCTAAAAAAAAAACTCATTTGACCAGTTAACTGTGATTGATGAGTATACTCGTCATGGAGAAGTTACAGGTTTTTTTTATTGACGAGTATACTCGTCATGCGTATAAATCTTTAATCATTGTCTATTTAGATTGCAATTTTTGAAAAGAAAAACTAAACATATTCTCAAATTGCAAGATACTTGGAATATTTTGTTGCTATTCCGGTATAAAATAATAGTTATCATTTCACCTCAAAATATAATCTTACCTCGATTACGACACAAAACTGTGCGCACACTTCAATACTGTGTTTAATACTTATCGCGCCACAGTTAACTGGTTATTAAGTGAGAAAATCGAAAAAGTTATATTTTATATTTACGTCTGTGTGTTATTGAAAAATTGAATAATAAACGATCGTTTTTTATGAGAATCTTTGATAGTGACACTGACAGCATTGCTCGCCCTGGTAATGGTGATATAAGCTCCCCCGAGAGAACAGATTAAAACACACTTCTGGGGCGATTTATGTTGGGGTGTCTTTTTATGTGCAGTTCAAATGACTTTCGATAATACGATATATCGGTGAGAATTATGATATGAAGTATTTTTTGTTATAACGTTCATATTTATCGTTTTTTTGGTACCATTATTATATTGGAAATATTAAGTTATTTTGACCGTTGTTTATTTATCGTATATCCTATTACAGCAGCGGTCAACCACTTTTCTGTTTTTTTTTGCAGACAATATAAATTAAATATGTATATCTAATAGTGTTGGCACATATATGTTGTAGCAATGCTGACAAAAGGTAATTTGTTTAAGATTATATTTGAGATCTATAAGTTCAAGTGGAAATTTGATATAATACCGCTTGATATCGAGCTATACTCCCACGTTCTTGACTATTACTTCACAACGGGTTTAACCAGTATTAGGAACAGTATTTTTTTAAAATGTTTTTTCATATATTAATAGCAATCAAAACTTTTAATAGTCTTATAAGCTTGTTGTCATGATTTCCTAATAACGTGGCTTTTATTTTTAGAAGATAACTTATCTATATTTGTCGTAATTTTATATGTATTTCATAATAGCATTCAAACTTAACGAGTCTTTTGCTGTAGTGCTGACATCTTAAACGACGTGGCATTTTATAGATGGCAACCCAAACGGTTGTCTTATATCTATGTGATGCATTTAATATTATAATTTCTTTAGGAATAAGGAGACCACATTTTTTTAAGTCAAAGCCGGGGCGGAAATTTTTTGTTATACTAATCCGGGACGAGGGGAAGGGTTTAAAATAATAATATATAAAACAATTTTTTAATCACAATTATGGACTTCTAGTAAGAATTTTATTATTCGATTGTATGTAAAACTTTTTGATCTATGATATTATGTTATATCTTATATTTTGAAATAAGTCAAAACCGAGACAGTTAAAGTTAAATGCTATTTAAGGATACAATAAAAAAAAAACAGTTTGAATCATTTTTTTTTAATCAGAATTGTGGTCTTTTAGTAAGAACTTTATTATCCGATTATATGTAAAACTTTTTTATCTATGATTTTATCTTACATCTTATATTTTTCGATCTATGTTTTGTTTCACTTTTGAGCTTTGTATGAAATTCTATTCAATTGTTTTCATAATTAATTTGAACAAATTAGCACCTTTTCGTTTGTTTTCACAATTTTTGTTAATTCACCTATTAATTAAAAAAAAACGGGACAATCGAAACAAAAGAAATAAATCCGTGATAAATATTGCTTTTAAAAAAAAAACTCGGGGTATAAGGCGGTAATCCGGGACTGTCCCGAGGTAATATGATCACCTTAGTAAAATAATATGGTCACCTTAGTAATAATGATAAATTATTCATTTATGTTACATTGCTGCGAAAGAGAAACTTATTGCTTCCTATATTTTCAAGTAAAAACTGATTTCACTGTCTATTCCGGATTTATATCTTTTGTCCCGGATTTTCGAAAAGTGTAGGTCTAAATTGAATTTTTATTCTTACTTGATGATTAAATTACAACTGCCCATCAAATATTTGAAAATATTATTTACAACTAGTATGCTTATATAAAAAGGCAGGATAAAATAGCCTCTCACATTCATAATGTTGAATTTGAATTTTTAATATTACGAAAATTAACAAAAATTATGAAAATGAAATTCTTGACTGCCTGGAATAATTTCTAAGTATCTTCAAGTAGTTATGAATAAAATTGATCAAAATTTTATAATAAGTTTGAAAGCTGAAAAAACATACAGACCCAAAAATTGAATGATTGACATCAGACTGTCCGAGAAGGGTATCGAACCTGAAACTTTCGATTCGAAGCTCATAGCTCTAACCATAAGCTACGAGAAATCCCAATTTTTCAAAATCTAATGATTTGTTTTTTTAATTGATGTACTTTGTCAAAAACAATACTTGTAGAAGTTTGTACAATCAGTTTTCAACAATATCGACATTTCGTCAAATGATTTGAATTCGACATTGCAGAACTATGCTGGGGAATGTGCATAGCCCCTTCATTCTTGAATTGTGTATTTCTTGTCGTTTCTCTCAAACCACTACCCCATGTAACATATGTGTCTAGTTTAATTAAATTCCGGATTGAGAATATTACAGCCAGTCGTTCGTCCGTCTGTGGAACGCCGTGCGCCCTTTCCGGGCCAGAAGATAACTCGCGTGCAGTTATTGTTCGGAGAGAAGAGAGAGAGTACTCGAATATCAGCCGCGGTTAAGGAATGCTCGAAAATATGCAGCATATTGAAAAGGGCTACTTGAATATGGTATCGATGTTGTTGACATGCCATGGCAGAGATAGATGATTCAATATAATGTTGAATTTGGCTGATAAATGGTCTAGATACATTTTAGAATTTTTTAAAGGTGATAAAGCATATTGAAACTTACGTGTGTAAAATATAATTTGATAATTCTACAATTGTTTTCAAAACTCATTATGAGATAAAGCATATTGATACTTTACGTGTATACAATATAATTTGATAATTCTCCAATTTTTTTCAAAAATCATTATGGGATAAAGCATATTGAAACTTTACGTGTATACAATATAATTTGATAATTGTACAATTATTTTTCAAAAATTATTATGTGGATCACTGCCTCAGAATGTCATCAACTATGATAGCATACTGACAAGCCCTTTTCATTTGTTAATAAAAAACAAAACTTTCACCTTTATTGAATTTTTGGAATCAAAAATAGATATTGTAACAATGAAAGTGTAAAATTTTATAAAAAACAAAATTCTCAGCTATTAAATGAAAATATAAGTTAATTATTAAGAATATGTCATTGTTAGTACATCATGGGAAAATAAGGATAAGGAATGCTGTAGTAGCAGTGATATAAACCTAATATTTAACTTACAATTTATATTTAATAGAAAATTTCCATGAATCTATTTTTTTAAAAGATTTCACTTTTATTGTTATACAATCAAAATTGGTAAAATTTTTGTGTTTTATTGGAGAATGAAAAGGTATAGTAAATATGGTATCAATTTTGTTGATATACCATGGCGTTCATGGTTGAGATTTTTAATGGCAGAAATATTTTTTTGTTCTCGCAAATTTTTACGAAAATCATAATTGTGGGAATAAAATTAAGGAAAACCCATTTTTTATGGATTTTATTTTTCATAAGATTTTGCTATTATTGTTATAATTTTCATTTTTATTTTTGAAGATTTGATAAAGGTGAAATTTTCGTCTTTTATTGAAAAATAAAAAAGGGTAGTAAATGGGGCGTCAATTTTGTTGACATACCATGGCAGAAATAATTTGATAATCTCGCAAATTTCTACAAGAATAAAAATAGCAGTAATAGTATATAGCTATTTAATAGTAATTTTTTGTAAATTTACATTTTTCATTAGATTTTACTTTTATTATTAAATCTCTCTTTCAAGATTTTGTTGCAAGGTGTAAAAATAAGAAAACAAATGTTGTACTAGCAATAGCAGTTTGATAGAAACTTTATGTGAATCTGGATTTTTATAAAATTTTATTTTATTTCAATTTTGTTGCAAGGTTATTATTTTCAATACTTTCAAACTTTTAATATTGTTTCGTTGCAACAATATAGCCATATAGCTTAGCCCTATAAGCTATTGTGATGATGCTTTTTAATTTCGTAGCTTTTTAGAAAGCAACCTAAATAATATTGGCCTAAAAGCTATCTTTATTTCTTCGATTTTTATTATTTGAATTTAACTAATACTAATGATATATTTTTAATTTGATTCAGCCGGGGAAGGACTATTTTCACTTGTAAACATATTTTATATTTTTTATTATAATTTAATTTACTATATAAAGTAAAAACTGATATCACTGCTAGTAGTTATCAGACTGTACGACGTGGGTATCGAACCTGAAATCTTGGGTTATAAGGCAAATCCTTTTCCAGAGTTATAGAGAAGCTTCTAAACCGGTATGTACATCAGTGTTGATTGAAATTTTTATTAAATAGTTATCATGATAGTTATGAAAAAAATATTTTTATCTTTAAGTATGCAAGATTGTAGATAGAGGGCGTGGTCTTTCAATTTCGGCTAAAGTTTACCCTTAAATCGGAGGCGAGCACGTGTTCGTTTGAAGTGTCAGAGGGTTTCAACAGTCTACATCAGTGTGCATTGAGAAACGTGGGTTATCGGTTAGTGTTTTGTTATTTAGAATAAAATGCTTTAGTTTTGTTTCATTAATTTCATATATAATTTCATAAAAAAAATGTGGATATGTTGTGCAAACGGTTGTCAATATGAGAAAAATTAGTATGCATTGTGAGTACTTGATTTATATTTTGATACCTTTATTTTTATATATTTTACTTACATCTTCTTTGAAGTGAATTGTAGAGCACTGCAATAAGGCACCCATCAGCTTATGAGGGTTCCATGTCACTGATTTTGCTCTATAAAATAAAAAGTAATATTATTATTAATATACGTACTACAAATTTATAATTAATAACGTATATAATAATGCAAATATCTTATGAGTATTAAATATTGGGGAATAATTTTTTGTCGGTTACAGATGATCAAATTATAAATAATAGAGTTATTCATACTGCAGATTTTTTGTTCGACGTTGAAACATTTTATAGTGATGTTCAGACAAATTGCCTTGTATTATTCATTATGTACGTTTCGGCACTGCATATGTGTCATTATTCAGCAAGTTCTAGGTTATTGTATATTTAAACATTTTACTCAAAAATACTAATGTAAATAAAATGGACATATTATTGGCATAAATATATTGTTTAGGGGCAAAAAGAGCACTAAAGTCTAAAATTTGACTTTGAGCAGTTTTATTGTGAAGACCTATCACAAAGAACAACACATATTAAACAAACAACTATCTGACTATGTTCAGTATAACTCCCAATTCATCATTGTAGAAATGTGTTTTTGAAGTTTTTTAAAAAATGGTCACTTGGTCTTTTTTCAAGCAGGTCTTTTACTTTCAAATATTGTTAAAAAATTCCTAGCTTTACTTGTTTTTGAGACACCGTTGGTGGACCATTTTACCCGCGGACCTTTGAGCCCCGCTCTACCCCATATGAAATCTATTAGCTTCAATTGATTTCTTATTCAAGCACAACGGATTTGCGTAATCTTACAACTGTCATAATATGATGTTCGTTCGCAGAAAATATATGGAAATTACGCACAAAATTAGTCGTAGATGACGCGAAAGGATGTCGATTCACTTACCCTGAATAAATAAAGATAAGCCCCCATTCAAATAAGTATTAATTATATCTAACCGACGAGGGTCGACCGTCTGGGGTGTCGCAGCTCACAGCAAGTGCTGCGAGGTGATCGACTGATACGAGTGAATATTTGTAAAGTGTTTGCATAAATTTTAGATTTTTCATGTATAGGAAACTGGAACAATATTGCTAAGTATTAGTGTATAGATTCTGATATGACTATTCGAGTATTCCTGCAGTTTATATATTAAATGTTGAAAGCATCTGGATCTTTATACTGAAGGAAAAGTGAGTTTGACAAAAAATCATACCAAAATCATTCTTGAAAGTCACTGCACAATTATGAGCTTATTAATTGTTTCCAGTTAAGTTTTATGCCATATATTTTGTGGTGGTGGTGTAATGGTTAAGAACGTGGGCTTGTTGAACTAGTGCTGGGTTCGTTACCAACCTTTTCCTTTATATCTTAATAGAAAGTTACTAAATATGCAGTCATTGATTACCAAATAATCTTGTAAAATAAACAAATTTTTAAAAAGATTTCTAAATATGCTTAACATGGTTGCTCATTAATGAGTTTTCTCTATATTGTAATTGACTCATATTGACGTTCTAATGGGATATTAATTATTCTCGAAACCTTTTGATCGTATTAGGTAATGCAGTTTTAGGAAATATGACATTCAAAGTTTCTTTTAAGAAATTTATCTTTTATTATTTCGGCAAAATATCCATGTACATTAAAAGTACAAAATATCATTAACATTAGTATTTAATTGACATTCGAATAGTTGAAAAGTTTGTTAACAGATAAATCTTCAATGTGAAACTTAAACTATTTTTTTCATATATACAGCAACCAGAAATCAATAGTCATATAAGCTTGTTGTAACAGATAAATCTTCAATGTGAAACTTAAACTATTTTTTTCATATATACAGCAACCAGAAATCAATAGTCATATAAGCTTGTTGTGATGACTTTTTAATGATCTGGTTCTTTTGATGGCAACCCAACGGTTAGCTTATATTAGGTTGTCAAATATCTCCCTTCCGCCTTTTTGTATTATAAACCAAGAGCAAAAAAGCGGAAGGGAGATATTTGACAACCTATTATATGTTTGATAAATTTATTTGTAGAGTAATCATTTTATTTGATGCAGCAATGCCTCACAAGCTCTAGTTTTACTTGAAAATATATTGTTATCTATATTTTCAAGTGTAAAATTATGTCATTAGTGTTTGACATCAGACTGCCCGAGGTCCTTTCAAATCTGGAAAATTTGATTGGAAGCCTCTAGCCCTAATCACTAATCAAAGTATTAACATTTTTATATAAAGTTGGCTAATTTATTCATATGAGAAATAATCATTTGCGACCGCGAAATGTGCGATTAGATCTTTTTTCGAAACGACTGGTCTTTTGACTGTGTTAGAGACCAAAAATGTGATCTTATCCAAAAAAGTGACCTTATCTAAAAAAGTTATATTATTCAGAAAAGTGATCTTATAATAAATTGAATATATTTACAACCGCGTACTCCTAAACGTGGCAGATCCATGCATACATTTTTTTCAAGCTGATTGTGACCCAAACCGATCAGAAATTTTCGATTTTCGCGATTTCAATAACTTATCCTACCAGAGCCTGAAAAATGATTATAGCATATAATTTAAATATTAATCAGTATTTTACATCTATGCATAATTCTAATCAGCGCAAACAAGTTTCTATCGATTTTATTAATTTTGTAATGCGATATGCAAAGTCAATATTTCACTCGAGCACTAAAATCAGTTAGAGTAAATGCTCTGTTATCCGTTTTATATGGGCGCCACATTTTGCCACTTAATCCCCACTAAAATAAACAGCGGCCTCAAAACGCTCTGGGAGCCCCCTTGAGAGTTGCCTCAAATCCCCATTGGCTTTAAGCGGCAGACGCGTGCAACCTATTCGTCTCAGGGCATGACTAATCGCCGTAACAAACGCCAAATTAAATATTTCGAAAGAATTTTAATTGTTTCTTCGCGAGTCATATATTAAATTTGTAATCATTTGGATATGCGAAACGTGTTGCGAATGTTGAATCATCACACATGAGCATATTTTTTTACAATGTACATACTAAATAAATAAAATTATACAGTAATTTTGTAATTGAAAATCAAGAATCTGTAAATGAAAATATATACGTTACATAACACTTAGAATGTTAGCTAATTGAAACAATTATAGCAATTATTACTTAAAATTTTAATCATTTTTGGAGTTAAAATAAAACTTCTTAGAAAATGGAAATTAAATGGGAATAGATATAAAAGAATTTAGTTAAATGGAAAATAAAATGGGAATAAAATTATATGAATAGAATTAAAATGAAAAAATATACTGATCGTGAGCGTATCTATCTCCAATACTTTAATTTTTGCAATGTACAATTAATTTTATTTTTTTACTTTAATTTACAATGCTTAATTTTTACAATGTATGAAAGTTAATTAATACATTGATATATTATTATAACCTAATATTTTATATTTTTGAAAACATTAAAATATTAGAATATACTTAAAACAAACGAATTGTGGCAAGCACATAAAGATCATAAAATCTGTATTCGATGTCATGCTAATTTTTTTTTAAATATCTATCATTTTACAGTTTTTAGGATTTAAACTTTTTACACCCTTTATCCCCACATATAATATGGGTGGAGGAATAAATGACCAAAACTTTATAAGCAATTTTATCAAAAGTAGTTTCAAAAAGTTTATCTAATCCTACTTTATTGTATGTAGTATAATTAATATTTCAATTTACAACATTTAAAATGTTTCCAATCTCTGCGTGGGTTTTGAGCGCATGCAAAATCAGTTTAAGTGATTTTTTTATAAAGTAGATTTTCCAATGTAAAATGTGGTTTATCCGATTAAACTTCGAAGGATCAATTTTACTGCCACTCGCATGTAAGGAAATGAGAAAAATGCATTAAGGAATTTTTTAGGCAGATGCACTTTTACCATAAAAATTTTAAAACTTTTTTTAAGTTATCAAGTACTTGCTTCGAAATACTATTTTATCAAGGACGATTAGAACTACATGTTCATAGCTTATTTTTAAACATGGCAACTCAGCGGCCGACCACTCTTCTTTTTTATGTGCGGTATATATACTATATTTGGAGCAAATTAACTCTAATTTATATTAAATGTGCTATGACTTTCTATACAAAAACAAAAATGTGTATCAAAAATATCTATGTCTAATACAATTATCATTAAGTTGTTAAAATATTGATTTTTAATTGAATCCGCCTAATTAGCGAAAACAAATTAAATCAAAATATTAATAAAAGCGTTGCAAGCACAGCCAAAGTGAAATTGAATAAAGACATTTTTATGGACAAGCTCTCTAATATTAGGTTTAGAACATCTAATAGTGTTAGTGTTTGTACGTTGCAGAAATGCCCACGAAACGCGATTTTCATATAATATTATATTTGAAGTCTATAGCCTCAAGTGGAATCTAGATAACCTACTGCTTGATACCGAGCTAGCCGAAGTTGGGATCGAATCCGGGTCTAGTGCGAACTAGTCTACGATCTTATTACACCACTAATTACAAAATATATCGCATAAAACTTAAGTTATTACAAAAAATTGTACACTGCCCAAATTGTACAGTGACTTTCAACAATGACTGAAAGTTTTTTTTGTCAAATTCACTTTTCCTTTCTAAATTTCACTAATGGTCTTTAATGGGCTTTGGCAGTTTGCAAAAAATCAGAGGGATTTTAACCAAAATATAATTAATGATGAATTTCAATTAAAGCCATAATTAATTACACATTGAAAGGACACGCGACGCGTCGGCAAAATTATGTTATTAGTCAACGCGGGGTATGTGACACTAATGCCGACTTTGGCATTCAGTTCACTCAACTTCTCCGTCGTAAATAACAGGTATTACGGTATAAACATCTGCGGCCTCTCGACTTCATTGTACTTTCAATATTACATGTTCTGGCTGTTATGATTTCAGCTGAATCAATTCAGCCATCTGAATGGAAATCACTCGATTTTTAATAATCACGGCATGCGCTGATCATTTCTGAGGAATATTAGAAACAAATCATTGGAGAAAAAAACTCGCGATTAAAATATATTTTTGCTTTATAAAGTATGAAGTCTACAAGCAATAATTTCATTTCTTCTGGCATATGGTTGAAAATGTTCTACTAGAAAGAAAATACCATGGAATAATTTATGGCAAAAAATGTTGATTTTCACTGATTGAGATATATGATTATTTTTACATTTGAACGCCATTAGAATGTTACCTAATGGTCGCTCTTTCTAATTGAGATATTGCATCAATGCTCGAAAGACTATTTTGACTTGGAAATATATTCAGGTCCATATTTTCAAGGAAAAACTGATGCCAATACTGCTTGATGTCAGGGTATCAGAAAAGCGGGTTTGAACTCGGACTGTATAAATATTGATCCAGTGTTAACAACAGAGGAGGGTATTAATAAGATGACCATATTTTTTATACCAAAATCGTTGAAAATGTTAATTATCCTAAATATGATTTACAGTAACAAATACAATAAGGATATAATAAAAATATTTTTTTTAATGAACCAATGATTTTTAATAAAAATAATTTTTAGTATGGGTTTAATATTCCATTGTATCTTATATTTTTTTGGTTTTAAATATATAATATTTTTTGTATAAATTTTGCTCAATTTTCTTAGTAAGTATTAACTCTTACAATTAGTAAAAATTAACATTTGTGCAAGGCGCTCAAAAAGTTAGATTTCATAATTCTTGCTAATTTTCGTAAAATTGAAAATGAAAGTTTGAAATTATTAATCATAATTTTCTCAATTATAACATTGTATATATAATTACATTGTATAAATAATATTTAATGGATAATTGTAATTTCATTATCAAGTCATTGCAAAGTTTCAATTTAAACCTACATTTTTCGAAAACCCGGGATTATCCGGGACAAAAGATCTAAATCCGGGACAAATATTGTTTTCAGATAAACACGGGACACAAGGTGGAAATCCGGGACTCTCCTGGTCAAACCAGAACGTATGGTCACCTTAGTATAAATGCTTTTGTTTTGTTTTATTTGGCAAAAAACACTATTCAATATACTTTTAAATATTTATATCGATGATATTTTTAGCTAATTTAATTATTAGTACAAACTTTGCGCGACGTTATTTTGAACAACATAGGAATGTTGTTTCGTAAATAATTCTGAGGAATTCAAGCACCTATAATTTGTTACAAATTTGTTCAAAATTTTATTGAATGTCCATCAACAAGCCTACGAGAACTAATAGATATTCAAATGGGATAAAGTAATGTTGAAATATCCTTAATCGAAACCAATAGAATAGTCTGATTCTGTATATTTCCCATTTGATTGAAGGGTGAGACTATTGAAATCAAACTCATGTCAGACCTGTTCACAATGAGAACCGACAGATGCTGTAGGAAGTAGGAAGTATGAAAGACCTACTCTACAAGGGGTTAAATTAACGAATCTTGTTCTTGGGGATTTCTTCAAAAAAGTTCTTATTGCACAGAAGAAATAGTCTTGGTGAATCGTGCATTAATAAACTCACAACAAAAAACATAAACAACATAAATGTTCTAAATTAAAAATTACAATTACCTTTCTATGCCAGATAATCTTGGATGTCTGTATTTCTTTGACAACAGTAAACCGCCACCCCAGGCAGCCTAAAATTTATAATTATATGGTATATCGAAAGGGCAGAAACTTTGACATATAGAGGAATACAGAATTCTGAATTTAAAATTTATATTTAAAATAGTAAATAAAAGCTATCAAGCAACGTATATATTTCATTAATACTTTGTGTATGAGGAAAAATGCAAAGCCAGAAAACGACAAAATTGATGGAGTCACAAAATGATATCTAATTAATGAAAACTTTAACCACAAAAAGTGATTTGAGTATCTTGAGGAACTTTTTTTGGCTATGGTATTTATCTGTTTACACAAGACCAAATATAATCTCTGAAAATAAAAGTAAAAGTGTGATTTATACTCACATCTACGTGTAACCAACAGTTGTATTTTTCGCAAATATCTGCGATTTCGTTAATAGGGTCAAAAGCTCCAAGGACCGTCGTGCCAGCAGTTGCAGTAACGAAAAATGGAATCTGAAAATATAAACATAGATAAAATACTGTCGCACTTCGTTTGTGATAAATATGTTATTACCTGTCCTTTGGATTTTCTTTCTATAATGAGTCTTTCCAGCTCGCGAGGTACCATTTTGCCATTCAAGTCAGAAGGCACCATGACGCAGTTATCAGTTCCAAGACCGCCAACAGAAGCACAAGATTTTACAGAATAATGGCTCTATAAAGAAGTCAAATCTTGTCATACTGAACTATTAGTATAATTTGTTGTTTGAGAATGTATCAACTTACCTGGTCTGATGTAAACATAACCAATTCCCCTGGAATAACGGATGAACCTTTTTCTTTATAACCAGGAAACATTTTATGGCGTGCAGCCAGAAATGCATATAAGTTGGAGATGGATCCACCTAGAATATTAGTCTTTTGTTAGATGATTTTCAATGTTGGGGGCATTATGCAAATATTTTATTATGATGTACCAGGAGCAAGGATGGAATCTCCACCGTTCCAGCCGATCAGTTCTCGCATATGCGTCAATACAACTCTTTCCATGAGAATGAACACGGGTGCAATTTCGTACGTGAACATGTTTGTATTAGCAGTGGCCGTCAGCCATTCGCCTGCCATAGACACCAAGTCCAAACCGCATGATAGTTGATTGAAAAATCTTGGATGGCCTAATAAAAGGAGAAGAAAATTACTTCTATTGATAAGGAAGAAACAGATTCAAGTAAAAATTTTTGTTTTGAAGAAGAAACAAATTGCTTGATGAAATTGTAAAAAATATTATTTCAATAATATCTCCCGATATCTCTAAATCTTAAGCTGCCGAGCTATAAAACAGGATGCACCAATTGAGGATCTACCGATGTAACTCTTCCATATTAGTTTTCTTCAAATATTTTGTATTAATATTATCGTTCTTTTCCTTATATTGTTAAATATTATAAATTATCTATGAATTTCTATTTAGATATTTCAAATAATTTTTGTGTGTTTCAAAAAAAAAAAAAAACGTTTGGGTACTCTGCTTATAACCCTAATTATGTTATGCCCTATATCAATACTAAACGTCTTGTTCATCTACTTATAAGACCTAACTCTATTTAGGAAATAGCAAGAAATTCAAAGATTACCAAGAGCTATATAATAGGCTTTTGTTTTTATAATTTCAGGATTTTTAAAGAAAATTAAAATAATTCTGGACGACAAAGTAGTACCATACGTAGCATAATTGGTGACCTAACCTAAGACCTAACTTGATTTAAGAAATAGCAAGAAATTTAAAGATTACCAAGAGCTATATAATTGGCTCTTGTTTTTGATAATTTCAGGCTTTTTAGAAAATTAAAATAATTCTGCGCGACAAAGTAGTACTATATGTAGTATGATTGATGATTAAGATAATATTTAATTTAGAAGAAGATGCTAAAAAATCAAAAATACCTGTGTTTCATACCGTAACCTAGTATTTACTCAAGAGGGCAACCCAACGGTCGATTTTTTATGAGCGGACTGTATATATTAGATATACATGTAAGTTGCAGCAATGCCCACGGAAATCGATTTTTACTTGAGATATAAAAGCTTAAGTAGTAGACAATATAAATGACAGGCCGGTTTTTGTTTTCAGTCATTTTGCGAATTAGATAAAATTCATTGAATTAATCAATACTCTTCCAATTAGAATAGGTATTAATTATGATTTGCTCCACACGTTTCTGAGCATTGCCCAAAATATAATCCTGGGCATTTTATTAAAAAAATTTGATTAACAATATAATCAATTCATGCGGAATCACAAAATTCTTGAATCATTTGATTATATTTACAAAAATATACTGTTCTAATATGAAAATGCAACTACAGTATATATAGAGTATATTTAATGATTGTCGTTAGTATTCTGCGACCAGTTTTTTAATGAAAATAGCCCAAAAATATAGGTAAAGGCCAGTTAAACGAAATAACATATGTGTTTCTTTGTATGATTTCTTTGAAGGACCCAGTTATGCTTGTTATAAAACACTTTCAATTGGAATGTTAATTACGATTGTATTTTTATACAATTATAAATATGTTTTATAATATGCAAATTCAAAAAAATTGTTTAATTAATAACATTGTTTTTCGATAGTGAATTTAGAATGATTTTTCTTTTGTTTATACTGTCATATTATGAGTGCTTTGTTTTGGCGTGAACAATATGCATTGGGTTTTTAATAGCTCTAAAAATGCTTCTGAGTACTATCTATATGTACTTGATTTTTTTTATTCTATTCCACATAAGTTCGATACCATCTTGTAATTTAATTTTCTCCAAAATTGCAATGTATAGCAAGCACTACAAAAGCTTTTTGATTTCGAACTTGGGAAATCCTGATCGTAAATATCGCCGTTCACGGGCCACAGAATGTTTTAATATTCCATGTACACTTCGAGCTCTTTCAATAGGATAATAATTGTGCACCTAATCTAATCTAGGACGCGTGCCAGGACACGCGTATCCTACGTGAAAAGTGCGCACCCCACGATCTGATTCTCGACTTTCCGGGTATCGTTTGTTTGTTTGTTTGTTTGGGAGGCCGAAGCCTGTGTCTTCTTGTGTGATCACGATCCAGAGGAAGAAGGGTTTAAACATGTGACAATCCAGTGCAGATGCTGATATGAATTTAATATTCATCGTAATCTGATTGTGAATTTATTACAGTAGACAATTCTAGGGTAAAGAGGCGATTAGCCTGGTTGATCTAAATGTGAACGGTTGAATTTGATGTATTAAATATTTTTTTAGAATATGATATTTTCCAGCACCCAGATTGTGATGCAGCTTTGGCGACAAAATTATCACATAACTAGTGGTGCATGGCATCGTGCCTTAACAAATTGCTGGAACTTAATTGCCCGTACCGTAATGAAATATTCGAGGAATATTAAATGTTTTCATATAGATTATTATAAATACTGTAATATTGTCTAATATTTATAAGAATTATATAAACTGAATTGCAAAGTTAAAATTATTTATTTAAAGTATATAAGTGAGCTTTAGAATTTTAGCCAGAATTAAAAATAAAATCTGAATTATTTGAGGTATGCAAAAAAATTTGAAACAATTCTTTTTCGAAAAGCAATTATTTTATCAAAACAAGCAGAATTTTTTTTTGAATCATTCAAATCGGATGCTTAGTTCTCAAAAACTGCATTTTTTTTGTACATTTAGCTCGATATCTTCGAAATGGCTGGACCTGCCTTTGCCAAAAACCAATCACCTCTTCTCCCAATCATTATAAATTGAATGTTTTTTTAGATCATTCAAATCGGATACTCCGTTCTCTCAAAAACTCGATTTTTATTTTCTGCACTCTTTGCTCTGTATCTCCGTTTCTGTTCTGAAAATGTTCAGAAACTTCTGAAACGTGAAGATATGCAAAAAAATTCATTTTTGATTTTTTTTCCCATTACTATAACTCACCCTACGGGAAGTTATAAAAGTTGCAAAATAATTATGGCACTTGTATTGTCTACAGCATATATACAGCAGATTTGATTTTATCACTAATCCATCGTATTTAAGAATAGTATTTCAATATTTTCAAACAAACAAATGTTCACATTAATTTTTTTTTTCTTCCAGCTCTAACTGGTAAATTAACAAAATTAATGCTGACCAAAAAAAAAAAGTGGCACAGTTTCCACTACTAACTTAAAAAATTCTATAATTTTTTTCTTTTTTTATGAATAGCAATCAGAATTTGTCCATTGAGCCCTATTGTGATGATATTTATTAAATACATGGCTTTTGGAGATGGCAAATATAGCATAATAATTTTTCTAATAGCAATAATAATAATAATTTTTCTAATATCAAAATAATTTTTTCATTAGTAAATAAGGATTTGTTCTATGAGTCCTATTGTGTATATGAATTTCTCTAAAACTATGAGCAAAATATATAATTTCTCAGAATTTTAGTTGATAAGTTTATTTCAATCAAATTTAAAATTTAATTTCATTCAACTTCATTCAAAAAATAAATGTATTATTTTTCTTATGCAAAGGTACATCTCTCGACCCTCGAATCATCTATAGAATCATATTAATTTAAAGCCACCATAATATTATAGGGGAAAATATATTATATTCCGAAGGGTTCCATACAGCTGTGATTACTTCATTGTTAACATAAACTTATTATGTTTAAGGTATCTGTATATATATGTCAACGAACCGTGAAAGTCACTTGTCGGCACATCAATGAATCAATATATCATGATAATAAGTTAAAATCCCATTATTTGTGCGCTAAATGGTAATTTAATATTAAAAATGATATGAGATAACATCGAAATGCCAGAACTAATTTAAATCAATACAACATTATACATATATTTTATAAAAATATTTTATATAAAATAATTCCCGGTTATGCAAATTTAAATTCATCATTTTGCACACATGTTCCAAAACTGATCAGGTTCTTAATATTAAAGTTAAGATGCGTTGATTAAAAAAAAAGTTGATAAAGAACTCATTTAGAAGGAATGATAGCTCAATATATATTATTTGATTGATTAAATTTTGTGAATTAATTATAGCATATTTATGTAATTTTTATAATCAGGTTTTCATACAGCTTTAGTAATTTTTTTCCATCTAGCTTGCTTGTAATTCTTGGAATTCTTTTCTATTCGAGTATAATTTGATAGAAAAAGAAAGCTGTTTTTGAAAACTAGTGACGAAATCAATAATTTTAATCATTATATTCTACTGACTACCTGACACAATAATCATTATATTCTACAGACTACCTGTACACAATTATAATCGATGTATATAGTTTTCCAGAAACAGTTTGTTTCTTTTGTTAATTATGCGAGCTGTTTTTTCTTATCAAAAATTTTTTTGAAATAATTTTATAGATGCAATATTTTCTAAATAATTCATAATACTGATAATATGTTTCAGTGTTATTATCGCTTAATTAATTGCTTAATTAATTAACTCTACTATATAAATATTATATAGCTCATAATGTAAATTAATTATTGTAAAATATGTTTAATTATGGATGGTAACAATTTAATCATGGTCTCGAAACGTTTATAATTAGTGTAGTGCATTCATATTCATATAATTAATATATGTTCCACTCATTTATACAAAAAAAAAACTACTGATAAATTATTAATATTTTTTACCATATTGTAATTACAAAAATTCAGTATTTTTTATATTTATATATGTAAAACTTTTACTTTATTACTTGCTGTCGGGAGATAAATGGCAATGTTTGAAAATCTATAACAAAAGTATTTTCTTTCGTCGTTAGTTTTTTAGGTTGTGAGCACTGTTGTTTAGTTTACGAGACTTCAATATAATTTTTAAGTATACGTTATTTAATTGTTTTATAAGAGTATTGTTAATTTTAAGTTAGATTCAACCGTTTTTTTATAAACCTGTGTAGCTTTAAAGCTTATGCCTGGGTGGAGTAAATGGGCCAACTTAACCTCTGGAAAAAGTGTAAAAAATGAAAAATAGCAAATAAAAATGTAAATTAAGTAAAAAACCGTTGAATTTAGTAAAAAAGCAATTCTTCAAGAGATAAATTAAATAAATAGTTATTCCAACTCTATTGATGAATATTTTGACGTAATACCAGATCAAGGTTATTTAC